CCCAATCTTTCCCAGATGAGGAAAATCCAGGGCAAGTCACGTGGGGTTGTCCTATGAATGTGTGTGTAGCAGAGAACTGTGTGTGGATAGGGAGACAAGTGAATGGGAGGTCTAGCTCGGCAGCTGTCCCAATTACCAAGTGCCTGCCAGTCTTTGCCACCTGTCCATCCTTGCTACAGGCTCCATCACTTCCAGCTTCCTTCCAGCTAGATTCAGCCCTTTGACCCTCTCTCTGAAGACTTGAGCAGCAGTGAAAGTGCTGAGGAACCCAGAAAGAAGTTCCATCAGCCATCAGCATAAGGAGATGAAGCATTCCAGAATATTCATTTTCAGCAGCCTTCCCTAAGCTGGTGTGCCTCATATGGGCTGCACTTCAGCTCCCATCATTCACAGCCATGGTTTGCCATAAACCAGTTGAAATGTCAGTGAGAAATGCAGGTTAAAAAACAATAAAATGATATGCTTATTTCACATTATATGTTTCAGGAACAGTCAGAGTTTTTTGTATGTCATCCCAAATTTTAGAGAGAAAATGCTACCTTTAAATAGCCACTTTCCCCATCATATTCAGACAGGAATTGCATAAAACATCTGGACTGCTTCAAGATGCATGCTCCTGTGAAAATAACCACTCCTTTTCTGTTCTAAGTTACCAGCTAGACTGAAATTGATTTTTCTCACTTTATGGAATATTGCACTTTTTCTGATCCTGATTCACTTGTACAGCCATTTGAAGCTCTTTGCAGTATCATGTAACCTTTGTAGTGGGCACCATTTTATCTCTGTGTCAAGTTTTTAAGAGTGAAATAGTATGAATGTTTCATAGAAAAAGCTGCTAGAACATGTTGGCTGGGGAATACAGAGAATTGTACAACTTTACTCCATCCAAGCATGCCTGGGATTATGTCCTAAATTTACCTTTTCATCAATGCTAAAATGTCTTTCCAGCTACAGTTAAACAATCAATCAATCACTCAATCAATCAATAGTGCAATATTGCTTAAATCAGGGGTGTCCAAACTTTTTGCAAGGAGGGCCAGATTTGGTGAGGTGAAAATGTGTGGGGGCCGACCATTCAGCCTGACATTCTTTGAACCATTAACATTAAATGCAAATGAACTATTTTATGAAAGACTAAACAAATAACTGCACTAATGTGAAGGGTGATACTGAGATCTCGACTGCATTATATAGGCCAGATCTGGCTCAAAAACAGTAGTTTTAATGCGCAAGATGTCACGCAGGTGAAAGTCAGTCTCGTCCTCACGCGGTTCT